TTTGCTCATAATCTCTTGGACTACAGGAATTTGATAAATAACACCTTCAAAGGAATACTTTGACATTTTCGGAATCTTGTTTCCAGTCTTGCTGACAGCAGAGGAAATGAGTGATGCTACGCTCATATCTGAATAGTGAATATTAAGCAATACAGCATAACATGTTGTATTTAATTTGTTTTATACACACAAAAACTGTTAAAAATTGTGATTAAATAATTAGTGAGCTGTAGAGGTTCTGGTAGGTGGATATTTTTACATTTGGACAGAGCCAGGCTAGCTAGTTTCCAGTCTTTATGCTAAGCTAAATCTTGGCAAGAAAGACAATAAGTCCCAAAATGTTGAACTATTCCTTTAAGGTATACTGCTGTACACCATGCATACTCTCACCCAACCAGCCAGCTGTTACTTGAGAAGAGCTGGGTCGGCACTCATTGATCATCCGCCTGTCCTGTGTTTTTGTTGAAGGTATTCAGCTGACAAATACTTACTTATTTCTCTGATCTGATATATCAGTTCTGAGATGATCTGCTGTCAACATATTTACAGGCTCACATAATCAATTGTACTCAGGGAAAGTGCATTCATGTGCTGCAGTTGTGACAGACCTTGGGTTAGAAGTTGAGTGTTATTGTGTAACTGACTGTGTGTGTGTGTTTTTATCAATATCCTAAGGCTATGTGTTTCTATAGTGTCATAAAGACACACTCACCCTACCACTCAGTTCATTGTGACACTCCCTCAGGTGAGTGTGCGTTTGTTTTATCTTAGTGTACCTGGAGCTGCAGCTTTAAGAACAAATACAGGGCTGTGGCTCGGGCGAGTCTAGGCGCTGTGTTTTCGACATAAGTGTGTGTGTGTCAGAGAACATTGCTTTTACTGTCATTCCTCAACTTTGGCACCCAAGGCAACCTTTTTTTCTCCTTCGGTGTCGTAATACTGAACATGCTGTACACGGAGGGCACACATTGTATTAGGAGATGTATTTTGTAATAATCATTAAAATCACTGGGTCTGTCAGATAAGCTGTAGCTTATATGTATGTAACTAATGTGCCAGTTGGCTCCTGACTCAGAGTTAATCGGCAGTGATTCATTAATAAAGTGATCAGGAAGTGAATTCAAGTTTGTTCTCGAGAACAACAAACTTGAATGATCTTATCTTTGTTTATTCAAAGTTGGGAAGTATTTGTTTACTTTTTGTTATTCACATTCAATTCTTGATCTTTTACTCAGTAGCTATGTGATATTTTGTGCGCCTTTATCATTACATGTTACCCTTAAATCATGACTGAATGTCAGCAGATCAATGCTCACTGTGTCTATGTGTAGACGAGATGTGTGACCTTTATTTCCCTGGAGCATAGTAGAGGAGAAGAAGAAAAGGTGGGGGGCGGGGAGGGTGTTGGTAAGCTGTGACATGTGTGATGTTGAGGTTAGACGATAAGCCACACAAGAAAAGAAAAAAAGGTGGCGGTGAGGCTGAAAAGCTAAACACTAGAGGAAGAAGGAGAGCTGTCTGTTCATTAATTGGAGGTCCTTCTCTTTACACTTTGGGTACGGAAGTTTACTGTGAAAAAACACGAGCCAAGGGCGAGCTAAGCTAACTCACCTCACTATACAGACTGCTGTTCTTATCAGTGATAAGGCTGATTCCTGTTTCTGACAGAACCATAAATAACTTGTGAACGTGCAGCTGATCCTACCTGGAACTGGTACAGTAGCAGACAAAACCGCATGGGAAAAACAACAACACGGACGCACAAATAGAGCCAACAGGCCGACGGTCACATGATTTAGGGATTCCACTACCTTTCAAGGAGGGAGATCTTTTATAAGATAGAGTAATATTATCAAGACATCTGCAAAACATGTGACTGACCAGGGTAAAAAAGAGCTTTTTGACACTCCACTCTAAGCTTGTTCTGGTGTTCGCGCAAAAGGTACGATATTCAAGGGCACCTGTATTTCTTATTTTCCAGTTTGTCATCCGCCTCTCTCTTACCTGTTTCTATACACAAGGTGAAGTGTATATAAAGATCAAGTGTTAACGTTCCTATTTTTGTCCAGCTCCAAGTAATGCTGGATCACAGAGTTGGTTCTTGCTGGGGATCATAAAAACTTAAGTAGATAACAGACCTGGAACCACATTCTTCCCCTTGCCCTTTTCCTTTTCTGCGCTCCCCCTCTTCCACCATTATTTGTGCCTTTTATACAGTATGTGGGCAGTTTCTTTCTCCCTCTCCCTCTCTGTCTGCCCTCTTTCTCAATGTGCAGACAAAGCCTGCGTTGTCTACTGAAATGCTGTGTTGTGAGGACAGGCTTTGGGTCAGCGTCTCATGGAATGCCTTGAAAACCATCTAGTTAGGGAGTATGTTAAATGTGCGGGTCTGTGCCCAGCCTGGCACTTTGACTCATCTAATGAGTCATTTACAGAAAACACAGGCCCTGTGGTGATATAGCATGTAATGATCTATGGGGCACGCAGAAAGGATTGTAATTTCTAGCTTTGGATTTCTGAGCTGTAGTTTGTAGAGGCCTGCTATTGTACTGCAAACACCCTCTCTTATTCTTCAGTCTCTCTTCCTGTTTCCATCCGCCTACTCTAGGTCACTGAATTGCTGTTGTTGTCTGGATTGATCACTCAACCAAATTTCTGGCTTAATCACTGTATCGACTAACTGCTACTGTGCCAGCTCTTGTCTCTAACAGCCTATTGTCTCTGCATCTCCTCCTTCACTGCAAGGATGTCAGTAAACAAAATCTACTGGGAGTGTGCAGATTGTGCTCTCTGTCACTGGGTGTTTCGCCAATATTTTCCCTCTTGAATGTTTTGTTTGTGCATGTTTCCAAGGGAGTTGAAGTGCAGTCTTTATTATAGTGTTATGCTTAGAGATCTACTGTCAGCGAAGCGCCACTTTATTCCTGCAAAATGTGTTTCGACAAAGCCTCAGGCATCACTCAGCTGGTTAGATTACACAATTGATCTGCTGCAAACTAACAAAGGCATTGATCTTCTCTAATTAAAATATACTTGACAATACAAGTTATGTCTTCAAGCAGTTTGAGGTGTGGTGTGATGGTGTGTGTGTGTGCCAGGAGAGGCCAGTGGGAGGGGCAGCTGAAAGTAAAGTGGACCACATTCAACCCTCCAGCAGTCAGCCAGTCGCACTCTGCACCTCCTTCAGCGAGGACTCACCTCTCACCGGTTCAAAGGGAGTTTTTATATTTGACTGTATCTCATGGAGGGCAGGATCACCTGTGGACTGTGGCCGGTCGTTTTTCTCTTGGGATGTGGGCGACTGGCGGCTTTCAACCTGGACAGCGAGAATGTGCTGCGGAAGAGCGGAGAACCAGGCACCTTGTTCGGCTTCTCTCTGGCCATGCACCGGCAGCTCAATCCGGTGGAGAAGAGAATGTAAGAGCCACACTTTTTTTAGGTTTTAAAGGGGAACGAGTCCATTCACTTCTAGGTCGTCGGTTACTTCTGTAACCATGTCATTAAAATGTTACAGCAATGTAGACGATTTATTTTGGGTTCTTGTGAAGCTGCTTTTGAGACGCGTTTAAGTTCCCGTAGAAATGTCAGGAGAGAGTTAAATGCTTCGCAGTCATTTGAGCTCAGGTATGTCGCAGGTAGTTTTTTAGGCTTTCCCCCCCCACAAAATAAGTGGGGGAAAAAAACTATTTCCCTCAGCTTCTTAAAATAATGTGCCGTACTTTATACACCTGTTGCTAGCTCAAACCGCAGGCCTTGTTAATCTTTGGTCAGCTTTTGCTTTCGGGTTACTTATTGAGTAAGTTTTTATGGGACCTGGGCAGATATTGGTTCACGTGCACTCAACTGCGCGCGCCTACATTTCTCTCTCTCTTTCTCTCCTTTTTTTTTTTTTTTTTGCCTGACATTCCCCCAGAGTTGTTTTTAGGTGAGAGCCAGTGAGACCGAGCCTTGGCGTTTAGGGCCAAAACATCTCATTGAATCACTGTTGGCATTTTTATGGGCATTGATTCAGAGGGATTTGTCACCCTGCATAAAGGCTCACTGCCATCATGTGATCACTAGTTTCAATAGCCTTAATATAAACTGACCTGAGATCAGACTAGTCAGATTCTTTAATCTGAGAGTCTCTCAGGCTGTAATGGGCCTGACAGAAATATACACGTTTGGCTGTGTTTGTGATTAAAGGGCGTCGTTTTGTTGGTGGAGGAATGTAAAAATGGCTCCTGTGAGTTATATTATGTATTACTGTTATATTATTATGTATATATACAGTTTATTGTTGTAGTTGGTTAGGTGGAACTTTTAATTATAAACTGCTTTACGATTAGTAATTTATTCTATAACAATGCATATTGTTGTATAACTCATCATATATATTTTGTATGGCCTATAAACTCTTAATAAAGTAAAGTAAAGTAACGTGCAACTATAGTTGTAAATACATATAGCGGAGTAGAAAGTACAATATTTTCTGAAAAGTAAAGTTCAGTAAGTGAAAATAAAGTCATGTAGCAATAAATGTACAAATACTTCAAGTGTGTACAGAACTACAATACTTGAGTAAATGTACACTTATATTCCACCACTGTCCATAATATGACATAAAATTATTCCATTCAAAGTACATTACAGTGTGATCAGTGCCTCTAGTGGGCACCGATATGTAGCGTAAACTACAATCAACTATTAACTGTATTTTTACACAGAACTGATCCACACACGGGCAACAGATGGGAATGAAACCTTGATCCAGGTAGTGGTTAGGTCACCACAGCGTGTTCACCGGCTGCAACATATCCTTAACTAATTCGGCTCAGAGTTATTAAGCATCAAGTCTTTAACCTTCTCCACACAGGTTAAACACTTATTTACACACTTCTACTACTGCTGCACATTCTCTCTCTCTCTCTCTCTCTCTCACACACACACACACACACATACAGTGGCAGTTTGTGTCCTAGTTTTAGGCTGTGTCTAAATGAAAGACACATGGTGATCAGCACGGGACCAGAGCAACCACAAAGTCCCCCTGCTTCAGGTTGTAAAGTTAAATACAAGAAAAAAAGAATTCTGTGAACTGGAAAACAACAGATACCAGTTTACCAGACTGAGCTGTCGCCTACTGAAACAATTAGTAGTAGATCACCAGAAAGGTAATCTGCAACATTGATAATCCGTTTAATTATGTAAGTTTAGGCAAAAACAAGCCAAATATTAGCCTTTTCCAGCTTTTTAAATGTGAAGATATGCTGGTTTTCCTACTCGGACTGTTTTAACTGCAGTTTTAACATTCAATTAATTGCGTCTCTGGGTTGTGATTGGAATTGTTCACTATTTTTTTGACCAAACTGTTAATTGGTTGATGGAAAGAGTTACTGGAAGATGAATCAATAATGAAAAACAGTGTTATTTGCAGCTCTAACCCTTATTTGTGAGAGCTGTAATTTCAGGCAGGTTTTCAGCGGGGTTTATTTCCCAAGATCCAGAGCTATTTGTCCTGATCTGCTGTTCAAATACAGTTATATTCCACATAGTTTAACAGTTTGTTGAAGCAAATCTTGTCCTTAATCGGTGTAGAAACAGGCATGTGCGTGTTACATTACAGCGCAAGTTTGAATGCGTGTGTTCATGTTTGAGCAGGAAGCCATGTTTGTTTTGCAAGTGATGGTGCTCTTACTGCTGTTACAGAGGTGGAATGTGCTCTCACTGTGGACTGTGTGTATGTGCTGCCTGTGGATGCATGCATGTGTGTGCGAGTGCCTGTTTAGTGTGCTTTAATGGTGCTGATGCATGCTGTGGCTGAGCACTGAGGCGTTGCCTTGTTGTCAGTCATTTGGAAGAGTGTCAGAGAGCTCAGTGTGCTGCTTGATACGTTCCTAACCTGAGGCGAAAAAAAACAAAGAGAGTGATAGTTTTTCTTTGTGCTGACAGTGATTTGAGTTAACATTGGATCAACATGTGTGCTACAGTAAGTGTTGGTGTGTATGTGTGCTTTTGCCCCCCCCTCCCCATGTGTGTCATCTCACTGTTGGGTGTGCACAGTGAGTCACAATCCTTTGCCAGTCATGCGTGGCAACTTTTATTCAGTCTTATATCTTCCGGTGTATTTCACGCCCTGTAGGGACGAGTGTTGCATGTACCTGCAGGAGAGAGCAGGAGCTGATGGGATTGTGTATATGCATGTGTGTCAGTGTGTGTGTGTGTGTGTGTGTGTAGCATTCCATAGTTGGTCATAATTACCAGATGGAGCTGTCTGTGTAATAAAATCAGGAGGGAAAGCTCAATGCATGAAGAGAAGGAGGGAGGAGGATACAGAGTGAAAGTTAAGGGAAGTTTAAGAGCTTGCATAGAGTGGGAGAAACGTGGGGGAGAATGTCAATGCATTGACAAATAAATTGGTTCTGGAGAAATGGATAGATGTAGAGTAAAGGATGTAGGGATGCACTGTGAGAAAGAGGAGAGCAAGACATGCTGGTGTGTAAAATAGTAATGTCTAGATTCCTGTAAAACGATAGAGGAAATAGAGTGTTATTAGTATACAAGGTCTGCATTTGAGTAGGATTTTCCCCCTTTCTTCCCTTCAGGTTACTTCAGGTTGTCAAACATCAAAAAGAGAGAGAGAAAAGAACTGAAGAAAAGAAAGAGGTGATGGTTGAAAGAATGCGGAGAGGAACATAAATCAGTCTTACATCTGGGCACCAAATATAAGCTGTTATTCAACCAGTCGGAGTCAGCTGGCTCGGATGGAGCGAGAGAAGTTGGGTAACAGATGACATGAACCTCTGGATCTGCAACCCATTTGGAGGTGAACGCCTCTAGCTGATAGGGTGCCACTGGCTGTCGCTAAGCAACGGGCTGTGCCAGTTTGCTGCTGTTAGAAAAAAAAACCAACACACCTCTCTCAACGGGACGTCCCTCCGATGGTCACTCTGCGCTGGTTGCTCTGTTGTCCTGCGCAGAGACAGTCCGAGTGTTGCTGCCGATATGCGTGTTTTGAGTCACTGAACACCCAAACACACACCCTGTCTCTCTGTTTGTCTTTCTCCTTCCTGTAGACTCAGCCAGTGTGTTAGATGATTATGATTAGACAAACAGCTGGGTCAATGTCAGTGCCAGAGGGTCAGCCTCATCACAGTGTTAGTCCCTGACACATCATGTCAGCACTTCACTCTTCATTGATAAAAAATAATAATCAGTAATAGATAATATGTGTCTAGATTTGTCTCCAATTTAGATTCCCGAATAAGACTTTTCATAATTTGAATCATATGTACACAACTCCTCTTTCTTTTCTTGCTTAATCTAAATGATCTCATTGTTCAGTTAATCGTGATGTATTGTGTTATTTTATTTTCACATTGCTGCTGTTTGTGCACTCTTCTTAGTTGCATTTAGCCCAAAGGAAATAGGTGAACAAGACCCTGAATGAATATCACAATGTGATTATGTAGAAGTAGGAACTACATTATCCATTCTCAGTTAATGCAGCAGAGACCCCAGACCCAGTGACCCCATTTCCCAGTGTGTCATGGCAGAGCTCTTTCCGTCAATTCTCCTGGCTTCCTGCATCTTGGAGGATAATGGAAGGGGAGATGTACCCACCTGGGATTCACTGATAGTCACCAATCCTCTCTTTGAAAGTGGTGACTCATCTTTGGATGACGAGCACATGCCCTAACAAATTCTCTCTGTGTGCAAAAATGTTTTCTGTTGGGTCCGCTAGTGCGCTTAGAGGTGGAGAGTTGACTTCAGACGGTGTGGTGTCAAATGTCAAGTGTCACTCACTCCCTGTGTAGTTTTAAAAAAGGGCTGGATTGGACACTTAGTGGATGGGATAACTGCACAAATTATAGTGCTCTGGTTTTTGAAACAAGGCCAAACCAATCCAGTGGTTAAAATGGGATAAACAATGTGCACTTGTCCACCATGCAGAAGGAGTTTGTTTCTATTGTGATGCCTTTTATTGGAGAGAAACGTCTTCATATTTTCGCAATACTTCCTTTTCAAACCATTTGAATCCATCTCATAACGGCAGCATTATAAGTCTTTGTAAACAATTTTAACGGGACATATTTTTGCTTGTCATATAAATAGATTTATTGTCCTCTGCTAATCCCCATCACTCCAGCTGGAGTCAGTATTCACGATGATTAACGCTTGTCTGAAAAAGTTAGCTGTTTTAGTTTGAAGTCTTCTCCCACATGCAGTGCGTGTTGACTAGTGAGGTCTACGCTGCAGACATGCTGATCACATTAGGCCTTAGCTCTTCACTCTGACTATATGTCTCTGTAAATTCCCCCCCAGATGGTGTGTGTGTGTGTGTGTGTGTGTGTGTGTATCTGAGAATGCTTTGTGTTCCAGCTAAAAATGGCTTTGGTTAATCTCATCTGGTGAAGACAGTGTGCTGTGCAATATTAACTGTGGAGGTCATCGGACAGACAAAGCAAAGCCTGAGAGAACTCCTGGAACATACAGAGCGATAGAAAGAGAGAGACGGCTATATTGACAGAGTGTATGTGCCCTACTCTCTGCTGTAAACCTCCATAAAGCATCAGTTTGAAGGATGACATCCTTGACTTGTTTGATTTACTCTGTTGAAAACCCTGGGAACTGGATGCCAGTCGCCAAGACTTGGGTGTGGCATTTGCCCTTGTCCTTGTTCCACAAAGGCGGCCTCTGTGTGTGTGTGGAGAGAGATAGAAAGCCTGGTTCAATCAACCACAGCAGGCGTTTGAAAGGGGTCTTTGACTCAGTCGGACCGTGAGGACATGGAACATCAGTTTGGTGGCGGATGTGTGTTTGTGTGTGTGAATATGGCTGCTGTGTGACGCAGTAGACTGGAATGTATGATAATATAATGTGCAAGTGGAAGAAATGCCATAATGCTAGATTGCAGATGAGTTTTACTGCTTCAACTGCTTTCACAAAGTGCATTTGTTGGAGCTGCGTATGTTTTAACACATTCATTTGTGTGTCTGTTTCAGGCTGCTGGTTGGGGCCCCAAAAGCAAAAGCCTGGAGTGGTCAAAAAGCTAAAGTGACAGGAGGACTGTACAACTGTGACATGAGCACCACCTCAGCTGGCTGCGCCAGAGTTCACTTTGATAAGACTGGTGAGAAATCTGCCCACACCTGTGCATTTCTGTGTTTGGCTGTTTCAGACCCTTTATTTCCTACGATATTTGAGTCACAGAATCCTCTTTGTGTCTAATTCTGTCTCTGTCTCTGTGTAGAGGATCCAAAAAGAGAAAGCAAAGAAAACCAGTGGATGGGAGTGTCAGTCAACAGTCAGGGCCCAGGAGGCAAGATTGTGGTAAGTCTGTGTTTTTAGGGTGCCCTTGTAGCTCACCTGGAAGAGCTGGCGTCCTAGTCTGACCTGTGGCCCTTTGCTGCGTATCATTCCCTTTCCCTGTCTTCTGCTTATCTTGAGCTTAATAAAAAGACAATATAATGTCTTTGTATCTGACCAAGACCTTGAAATTAAACCACTATTTTCATGCCTTTTTTGTTCATGAATGCCAAAATTTCTCCGATTGCAGCTTATCCTTTGTGCTGCTTTATTCTGTTTTATATCATCATAAAATTAATATTTTTGTTTATTGTACTGTTTGTTGGATCAAACAAGATATTTCAAGGTCAGGATAGTAATGGGTATTTTCTATTATTTTCTGTTACTACTTGACAGTAATCATCCATTTCAGCCCTGCGTAGACATCCAAATAAATGCCTTTAAACCCACAAGAATGTATTTTTATGCCAATATGACGTTTTTCCAAAAGCTATCAAACATGTCATGCTGGATTACAGGGGAATGTATAACAACATTTAAAAATGTCCATTAATAGAACAGACATGTGCTTTGGATTTGAAGTCAGTTAAATAAGTGATATGCAATGAGTCTGCAAACAATTTTAGACCTGCAACCAATAATTATTTTCAATCAATCTGAAAACATTTTTTTTAGATTCATTTTTTGTTTAATATCTACATTTTAATAAAATCAACATCACACATCACAACTTTGACCAAGGTGACATCTTCAAATTGCTTGATTTCTCCAACCAACAGTCCAAACTCAATGAAAGTAAATTAACAATGATATAAAACAGAGAAATTTTTTTTTTGCTTGAAAAATGGCTCAAACAATGAATAGTATATTATGTCAAATATACAAGTAATTGACTTATCTTGTTTTAAGGCTACTGGCATCTAAACTCTAAAAGTAACAACACAAGCCTTTTTCACAACATCTCATCAGCTTTGACCAACAACTCAACTGTGTGCCTCTGTTTCCCCCGGCAGACCTGTGCCCATCGCTACCAGCGCCGGACCAGTGTGAACACGGCCAGCGAATCCCGTGACATTATCGGCCGCTGCTACGTGCTCAGTCAGGACTTAACTATCAATCCCAGCTTAGCTGAAGAGGGAGATAACTGGCATTTCTGCGAGAGCCGGGCCAGAGGCCACGAGATGTTTGGCTCCTGCCAGCAGGGCCTCTCTGCCACATTTGACAAGGATTTCCACTATATCATCTTTGGGGCTCCTGGAGCCTACAACTGGAAAGGTAGTCCTATTTGTGTGTGCATAGATGTTTAAAGTAATCTATTCAAAGGTTTTACTGTAAAACAACTTAACTACACATGCTTTATTATCAATCTTCTCTATGTGATTTGTGTGTTCAACATTAGCGGCGGTTAGGATTATTGTGTTATGGGTTTTGCCAGATCTCTACCGTTTTAACGCCTCTTGTCTCCTCTCCTCCAGGTGTGGTGCGCTTGGAACAAAGGAACGACACATTGTTAGAAATGGGCATCTATGATGATGGTCCTTTTGAGGTGGGCGATCAGACGGAAAAAAACCCTGACCTGGTCCCTGCTCCTGCCAACAGCTACCTGGGTAAATCACAGCTTCATCCATTCACTGCCAATCTGACACTGCTACTTCAGCTCATTCACTGTCACAAAGAAACATATTCATGTACCTGACTGCCTCTGACAATGTAAGAAAGCGTCCCTTTCTCTCTCCGTCTCCCAGGCTTCTCTCTGGACTCGGGAAAGAGTCTGACCAAGAATCGGCAGTTGACAGTGGTGGCGGGAGCTCCCAGAGCGAACCACAGCGGAGCGGTTGTGCTGCTGAAGAAAGGCGGAGACACAAGCAACATCCTGCTAGAAGAGTACACCCTGGAAGGGGAAGGGCTGGCCTCGTCTTTTGGCTACGATTTGGCCGTGTTGGATCTCAACGCAGACGGGTGAGCGATACACACGACGTGCTGCTTCTGCTTTGAAAAGTGCTATCACTATTACTGTACACTCACTAACAGGTAATGCTCCTGTCTCATAGTTGGCAGGACATAGTGGTGGGAGCTCCTCAGTACTTTGAGAAGGACGGAGAAATTGGAGGAGCCGTCTACGTCTACGTCAACAAAGGCGGAGAGTGGAACAAAGTCAAGCCCACCAGAATAGACGGACCTCAGAACTCCATGTTTGGCCTGGCTGTGGAAAACCTGGGAGACATCAATCAGGATGGTTACCATGGTGAGGCTGCGATGTTTGTGCCTGTGCACATGTATACTACTGTCTGCTCGTTATTCTTGGTTTTGAATGAAATGTACCTGCATTACCACATTGTAGGTCACTGTTGTCTTTCTTGCTGTCAGATTTTGCAGTGGGAGCTCCTTATGGTGATAATGGTGCAGGGACCGTTTACATCTACCATGGATCAGACACAGGTCTCAGCTCTAAAAAAGCTTCACAGGTATGTAATAAATTGGCGGGATAACTTAGTGCACTTTGTCATTGTGGATTATGTTTGTATCTAAGAAACTAATTCAGGTCAAATAAAAATCTTGCTTTAGGTCCTGTCCGGCCAGCCTGTAGGAGCCAGGATGTTTGGCTACTCTTTGGCAGGCAACATGGACCTGGATGCGAACTCCTACCCTGACCTGGCTGTCGGATCCCTCTCGGACTCTGTCTTTGTCTATAGGTGAGTGAGCTGCCGTGTTTTCCTCACTGTACATTTCTGTTGTTCATCGTTACAGAGTTGCTTACTGAGTTCTGTCCTCCCAGAGCCCGTCCAGTTATTAACATCAAGAAGGTAATCAAGTTCTCACCGGAGAAAATCGACCTCACCAAGAAGAACTGTGGCAACACCTTCTGGTAGCATGTCTTTTGTTTTTCCCTGTCATGTCAAATATGAACCATTTTATTTATGGAAATAAAGGATGTTCAAAGATTCAGCTTGACGTAAATTAAGCAGAACTATAATATTATTTCATTCAGTTGCTGGTTTTATTCTACTAATTTCTGAATACAAATGTATGTGGAAAATGCCAGTACTGTGTCTGACTGTGGAAAAACTGCAATGTGTCTCCAGCTTGGAAGTTGAGGCATGCTTCACCTACACTGCCAACCCTGCGAGCTATGCTCCCAGTCTGAGTAAGCTGAGCCATCTTTTTCTTTATTAAAGCAAAATCTCAACTTTATCATGTTTTCGCTTGTTATTATAATGACACAACGTAACAGGGAGATTAAAACCATACGCAAAATGTCATTCTCCTCTCTCCTATGTCTCTGTCTCTGTCCCATCTAGCGGTGAAGTACACCCTGGAGGCCGACGCTGACCGCAGGAAGAATAGTCTTATCCCGAGGGCAACCTTCCTTGACTCTGAACACAGCTACAAATCAGAAGGGACCATCACCATGAAAAGCAAAGGAAAGAAACAATGCCTTAAACAACAGCTTGCCATACAGGTAGTGACTCTCTCTGGAAATTCTTAATTTCTTGATCAAGTGCATTGTGGTCTTAGAATATATGTTTTGTAACGTTGTCATTCTGCAGGAAAATATCAAAGACAAGCTGCATGGGATCCCCATCGATGTGTCTGTGGACATCCAGGAGGGCAAACGTAAACGCAGACAGAGCCCAACTCCTCAGCTGTCACCTGTCCTGGACGCCAGTGAGCCAATGTCCACCCGATCAGAGGTGTGTATGCATGATACTTAATGTAGGAACACATTTAAAGATGTGGTGATGTTACCACTGTATATATGTAATCTTGTGTGGTTGCAGGTGCATTTCCTGAAGGAGGGTTGCGGCAGCGACAATGTTTGCCGAAGCAACTTGCAGGTGAAATATCGCTACGGTTACAGGGCACTTGACGAAGATACATTCACTCCGTTAGAATTGTAAGAACACACACTCACACCTTTTTTCATTTAATAATTACTTCTAAGGCTGGTTCCTTGAAGCATGTGGAGCCCATTCGTCAGTTACATGAGATCATAACCTCTGTCTGTCTAAAGGGAGAACGGTGTGCCGGTGATCTCGCTCAGCGATCAAAAGAACATCGCATTGGAGGTCACTGTGACCAATCTAAATGGAGATGATGCATACGAAGCCTCTGTGATTGCCTCCTTCCCAAGCTCCCTTACCTACTCTACTTACCGGCCTCAAACCAATGTAAGCTTCTCTTTCTCTGTCTCACACACCCACATTCACGCACATATCACTTTGTGGTCCTGATTGGAACTTGTCTTTGATTTAATCCGCAGTTGGTAAATTGTGTAGCCAATACAAACGGTTCTCAGGCCGACTGTGAGCTTGGAAACCCCTTCAAACGGGGCTCAGAGGTGAGAGAAAGTCCCCTTTTAGAACCGTCTACATCCTCTGCAGGTGGCACTTTTAATACTGTTGTCTTATATATTGTCTTGTTTGTGCATATAGACAACCTTCTACATTATTCTGGGTACATCAGGCATCTCTCCCGATACCACTGAAGTGGAAATTGATCTTAAGCCAGAAACGTAAGTAAATCTAACTGCCTAATAGCATTAATTACACTTTTTAAATGATATGATGGTGGTCTTGATCATTTAGGGGCAGTTTTTAGAGAGTTTTTTCCTGCTTGAGTAGTAAAAAACAGCACTCCTGGACTGTAATGCACTTACCTTAATTATGTATTAACATTTGTAGTTCACTAGCAGTGTCTGACTTGACCTGTGTCAAACCTCTGATCTGACAGGACAAGCGAGCAGCAGAAATTGGACTCTCTTAAAGCAAAGGCAAAGGTGGCGATCATGTTACAGCTGTCTGTATCAGGGTAAGAACCCCCACCACCTTCCACACACACACACACAACAAACACACACCACACACCACACACACACACACACACACAACACACCACCACACACACACACACACACACACGTACACACAGTTCACAGACCAAAAACAAATTCAGATTCATGCTTCTAATTGTGTGACTGTTTCTTTCCAGACATGCCCAGCCATCTCAGGTCTACTTTACAGGAGAGGTCAAAGGTGAGGCAGCCATGAAGAATGAAAGAGATATTGGCAGTGCGATCACACACCAGTTCAGAGTGAGTACAAAATAGTAGTAGTAGTCAGTAGTCATTTCCTTTCCAGAGTGGCAAGTTCTTTTCAGCACTCTTTAAATGTATCTTGCATTTTGGATGTATTTGTGCTCTAGTTAGATAAATCATACTATATCACCAGAGCTACCACACTGCTCCTGTCTTGATTTACAGATCATCAATCTGGGAAAGCGCTTGACAGAGTTCGGCACCGCCACCCTCGAAATCTACTGGCCAAAGGAGACGAAGCATGGGAAGTGGCTGCTCTACCTCATGAAGATCAGCTCCACTGGAGTGGACCACATAGAGTGCTCTCCTAAAGTGGAAATAAACTTTCTTCAAATGGTCAGTGAAAGCATCACATTAAGGTGTTGTTGTGTACTTTTTCAGATAGCAGTTTATTTATATTTTGTTGCATTTATATATATTTCTTTACATTTAGAAAAAATGAAGAAGTTGAGGTAAATTTATTAGTTGGATGTAATTTTTCTCTTTTCTCTTTTTTAAGGAACCAAGTAGCAACAGGAGGAGAAGAGCAGCAGAAAGCACCCAGGGGGGCAGCGAAGGCACTATTTTAAGTTTACTTGATAAGAAGTCTGAAATTCTGGTAATACTACACTACCAAGTTCTATTTTTTTGTTTTATATTATTATATTTTATGTGCTTGTGCAGCCAATAGCAGGAGAATCCAGGAGTAACGTTGTGCTCCCTTCTTTGTTGACAGTCCTGTGGAGATGGGGCAAACTGCCTGACAATAAAGTGCCCCCTGCGGGGCTTGGACAGTAATGCAGTCATCACTCTCCACTCTCGCTTATGGAACGGCACCTTCATAGAGGTAAGACTGCAAGAGAGTTACATGTTTTTACTTAACTATTTGGTCAGGGTTTAAAATTAAAAATATTTAAATTCTTTGTTTCCCCACTATTTTTTCCACTATATTTTGTACTAGTCTCAGGTTTGCAATGTTAAATGGAAATGAAAACGGGACTTACTAAACACTCAAAACACAAAGGATTTAAATAACATGAAGTGAATTATTAACTTATGATTTAACTTATAACATGTATGTCAGTTCATAAGAGAGGACATGACATAAATGAGGGCACTTATTAGAAAACCTCTATGTAGAGGAACAAAGATTATGGCAGCAAATGTATTATTTTAGAGTTTTCTTTTATTACTCCCAGCACTATCTAAACTCGATCTTCTCCTTTTGTCTTTAAACAGGAATATTCCAAGCTCCATCATGTAGAGGTGAGAGTGAAGGCCGCTCTGCGTGTTGATAGCACAGTAAAGAACACAGTGCTGGAAAATGCTGAGACAGAGGTAAATTAATATGTGACAGAAGGTGACATGATTATTTATTGCATGACATGACAGTTTTGTCAGGTCTTAATGCTGATGTCAGCGTAGTGCATGGACATCGAAAACATGAATGTGTGTGATATAAAGAGAGAATAAACAGACATGTAAAAGTCTATCTGACACTGTACTTCCAATACTGATGTTCTGCCACTGTATTTGTGTTCTCCAGGTGAGACTGACGGTGTTCCCAGAGAGGCGTGCAGCCCAGTATGGAGGAGTGCCATGGTGGATCATCGTGCTGTCCATCCTGCTCGGGTTGCTGTTGTTGGGCCTGCTGGCTTTCCTTCTCTGGAAGGTAGAACCGAAGGACAAAGGGACACACCCTGCCCCAGCTAATACAAACACATACACATATGGCACATCTGTATTTTCATGGTTTTAACTGAAAAAAGCTAACTTCTAACACTCTGTAAAGCACCATTTTCTCATCAACTGTAGGTATACATAACAGCGATTACACACATTTTCTAACAATCTGCCTCTCCTCAGTGTGGAGTCTTTGGGAAAAAGAATAAAGAGGACCCATCAGAAAAAGAGACACTGACATCAAGTGCATAAAAAAAGAGAGAGGGTAAAATTAGCCGGCCTGCCACAAATGGGTGAAACGTTTTCTCTCGCTCCTTTTCGCTACAAAAGCACTGCTTTATGGTATTACGCAGGCAGTGAGCAATTCTCACACTGTGACATGAATGCTACTGTAAAAGCTGACTGATCATTTCTGCAAAGAGTTTATGCCTAAAAAGATTTTCACACATGGTTATGTGTGGATCATTACAGTTTACGTGCATGGCCAGGGGAGGTGATGGCTGATAAGCAATGTTTGAGGATCATTGGTGGATGGGGGCTGTTCTGCATCTCTTTTAGTTCCTGTCTTTTCCTCCATTTCCAATTTCTTCTTTTGCTATTACACATGCAGTGACTTGGTCTGCAGGTTTCCTTCTCTCTACTTTTAAAAACAGGGGCATTAGAACATGTCTCTTGTCTTTAAGAGGAGTGCAGGTGGATTGTCTACACCTAATGGATTTACTGCATCTTGGCTCCTGTGAAAGGGACTGATGACATTAAATGTCTCATCAAGCTCCCGTGCTTCCTCTGAATGTCTTTAAATAGCTTTTTACCCAAACAAAACATTGATTTTGTTTTTCCATTCTTCTCTTGCAGTGTGGCTTTTTTAAGCGAGCCAAATATGAAGACAAGGTTCCAAGTTACAACGCTGTTCGGATCAAACGGGAGGAGAGAGCAATAAACCCTGGGAATGGTAACTGGGAAAACCTGGACAAGAAGCCCTGGATGACAACATGGCACGACAAAGAACATTATTCTTAACAGCTAATGAGATCTGACCCACACAGATTCCTGTTGCTTACTGATAAACTTCCAATTTCACTGTTTTTTCCTGCCTTGTCTTTGCACAGTGTGGACTGTAAATAAAGCTACAAAATCATTTGTTAAAAACAAAGAACAAAATTTTTTAAAACTAAAGACTTGATCAAACGTTCTGCTTCAGAGGCTGAATTGATCTCGGATAAAGTCCGTATAAATCACTGGAAGGAGAGCTGCAGTGCGGGATACGGTTCTGCACAATTACTGTCTGTCAAAGCTTGTTTTGTACATTTACTACATTCACAGTGTTGACTGGGGGAGGGAGGGAAGGAGGAAGTGAGTATGTTTCTAGGTTTTTTGTAAAAACATTTTGCAGTTTTGTTTGTATTTATTCTTTGAGGAGTACTTTATGTTACGTTCCCTACCGGCCAAAGAGTCTTGCAATGCAAATACAGGCTTTTTTTTTTTTTTTTACTAAAATGTTTATTTTCCCAATTTTTTAATTTCTTTTTTTTTTTAAAGTTTTTTTAAGGATCTGCCTTAACTTAGACCAATCAGCATTTTTCATGCTCAAGGCACCTCAGGTTGTAAGTTATGGAGCAACTGCAGTTGTCGAGCATTTGGTGTGTAAATACCAAACCTCTGCAGAATTCGCCTTTTATTCACTGGCTGTAAAATAGGAAGAAACAGAGGATACAAACAGTTTCTTAAATAAATGTTTTTTTAAAATATATCCATGTGTTCTGTGTGTTTATTCAAGGTGAAATTACTTTTTAAAGATGACTAGAAGAAGGTTTAAAACGTTATTTATTAATACATAAAAAAAGCATTTACAGCAGATACCTGCGTGCTTAAATCGGCACGTTAAATATTAAAATCATTCTAAGGATAATTTAAGGTTCATGATAAAAAATAAAAAAAAAAAACACTGTAAAACAGTAGCAAATTGTCACTTTACACCTGACGTATACAGAGAGATGTGCGTCTGCTGTGAGTGTGAACTTTGGTGCTGGAGTCGACCTCTGCTCTGGTCCAAAGTTCGGTCTATCAGTTTAAAACCAACCAGTGTTCTGTATCCTAAATGATAACTATTAAGATGTGAACAATAGATGTGTGCAGTAGATCTAGCTGTTTCTATTAACTAAACAGACATTTGTTCAAGTTTATTTGCGTGCGTTAGACTGCAAACACACCCTTATGCATCTCCGACGTCACCTTTACAGGAGTGACTCAGTTCTTACAGTTTTGCCACTGCGTCTGGAGTCTTTTACGGACTCCATCGCCATCTTCGCTTTCTCTTTTTCGTCGCTCTCCTTATCCAAAACCGCATTCTTCTCTCCTTTCCTTTGTCCCTTTTCCTCGCTTTTCTTCATCTCCTTCAGCTTCTTCTTGAGGGCAGACCGGTCGCTATGGCTGCACACCCCAAGAGCCTGACAACGAAGAGAAGAGAAACAGAGAGAAAACACATGTAAATGTTAACGGAATATACATAGATTCTGTACAGGTTCAGGTTAATTACCCTCCAACAAAACAGGATTTAACCGATTCTCATTTTTCTGACAAAAGTGGTTTAATCCCAATACGGGGGAAGGAAGTATCACAAAGGTAGTTCTTACCAATAGAGCCTTTCAGATATATCACCAAATTATCACAGATTAAATAGTATCACCATATAGTCTATGTCGACTACCAAGTAACTACTATTGAGAAATTGGAGCATAGATATGCCGAAGATATGTTTGAGGCAATTTAGAGACCACCAGAGAGCACAATTTTGTCCCAGTCAGTACAGAGTTGAAAGGTATTTATAAATACAAAATCTTTTGATTACCTATGATAAATAAAAAGCCATCTAGTTACAACACAAATATAAAACTATATATCTAAACACGTATATAGATACACACACACACACACACACACACACACACACACACATAAGTAAACTACAATAAAATACAAAAAATAATCTAAATTAACTAAAAATACAGTATAAATGACAAAATATGGCCTGGGAGTTTGTCAGTCTAGGATGGAAATGTTAGGGGAGTTTAAAAGATAAAAATCTCACTTTTAATCACAGTGTAATCACATTGACTATTTGATATTAGGACTACTACTACTTAATTAACTAAATCAGAAATAATGAAACTAATATGGAAAACAACAAAGGTTCCGCCCAGTCTTGGAAGTCTATGTTACTTCAAAATGTGACAAAATGCATCCAAAGTAAAGAAACTGTATCTGTGTGTACCACATTCAAAAATGATTCCCTCAACATCTTAAATGGCTCACCTTGAGTTTTTCACTGTCCATACTGAGCAGCGCGGCCCCATCCACACCTCTGGCAGTGAACTCAGAAGCGTACTGGTCCATGTTCATGGCGATTAACCACAGACACACCTGCTGGTTGTTCCACTCCAAGACGGGTTGACTTTGCCACTGGTTGTTGTTATTGGTGGGAACTGGGTCATCGTCCAACGTCTGACAGGACACCCGAGACAATACGCAGACAGAGTGAGGGAGCAGAGAAGAAAAGAAATAGGAGAGGAAACTGTAATTAAAGAGGAGAGCAGGCTTGGGAAAAGGAAGATTGGAGGAAGACTGTCATTGGGGGGGGGGGTAAGAAAAAAGGAAAGAAAAAGGAAGGGGGGGGACAGACTCACCTCAGTGGAGGAAAAGGTGAAAGTGTGAGAGTGTCCAGAGAGGGAGATATCAGAGACATGACCCACCATGCTGGAGCTGCACACTGGTGAGCCAATACTCTGGAAGTAAGAGAAAAAGGCTGCCTACATACTGTGCTTCACAGCTGCTGCATGCAAACCCATGCATGTGTGTTCATATCAAGGATTACTGTTGTAGAAATTTTTAGACAGAGGAGGAAGATGGCATGCAGAGAAGGCTGAGAGCCTAATTTAGATCTTTGTCACTCTGGCCACCTTAGCATGTTTAGCCTTCAATGTGCCATGTACACATTTGATCCATTAGTGCATCTTTTCTTACCTGATCTCTTCTACCTGTGGTGGTCAGGTAAGGTAGACTGCTGCTGGACACAGACCGAAGTCTCTCCCTGCCTCTCTCACCCTCTTCTTTTTCTCTCCCTCGCTCTCCAAACCAGGGGAAGGGGAGGCAAGAGGGCATGGAGGTGACTGAACCTGATGGAGAAACTCCAGCGGGCTCATCCACCAGGTCACCACACGACCCCCTGCTGGAAAACAATAGTTATGTTTCAATTAAAAATGTACACGTTTGGGGTGCCTTGGTAGCTCAAAAGGAAAAAATACCTTTTTTTAGCTTGAAAGAATGTCTGACCGAAAGATTGCAAAATAAATACGATTTTGGAACAAATTAGAGTGTGTGGTTGCTTTTCTTCATTGAGTTTGATAGTCTAGAGCTCCAGCACCTTTAGATAGATGTGATACCCCCCCCTTCAAATATCTGGTGTTTCCTCTCCTGTTTTTTAAAAACAAATTAAAAATGTGCATAAAAACAGGTGATTCTGAATGCTGTAAGCTGTAGTGTGCAAGTGAAACATTATGGATTGGATCATCAATGGCTTTTATTTATCGCCCTATCAAATGACATGTCAGGATTTAATGTTAATTGCAATTTTTTTTATTTTCTCCTTTGTTTTGTTTTTGTGTACGTGTGATGTCACACCTGTTTGTGGACTTTTTGCTGTGTTTCTCACTTCTCCTTTTGCTGAGAGACTTGCGAAGGCCACTGAAAGACAAAACATACTACAGTCATTAAAAAGTATACCACCAGCAAAAATGGCCGGTCAGCATCCCTGTGGCAGATATCCAGACATTAACTATGGCTCAACGGAAATCTATAGAACTACTAATGGCTACGCAAAAAATGTTGTCTTGGACAAAAGAAAGAGACCCTGCACCTTAAGTCGGGAAATTTCCTTTTGGACTTCCGGGATACGGAGGATTTGCACGGTGAGGGAGTGAACGTGTCGTTGATGTAGATGGGAGGGGTGAAGACGGCGTTGGTGGGAGGTTGAGGACTGAGGGCTGAGAAAGACGAGGTACTGGACTGGTCACTTCTGCTGCCCCTTTGTGCCACTGTGGGAGCAGACAGTGACTCGCTCTCCTGGCGTTTCTGACCTTCACCTTCCTAAAAAGCAACATGAAGACGCAGGTGTGCAAGTGTCTGTCAGAAACAGCAGATTTAGATTCAGTTTTACAGCTCTGTCACCTACCTGCTTCCTAAAGCTCTCTCTGAGTTTGTCTCGAGAAGGCGGGTGGCGCTTGGATTTCTGGGCCAGTTGAGCTCTGGCTATGTGAGCACTGGAGTCTAGACGTCCCGTATCAGGGACTGGAATATACCAGTCTGGACCTGAGACACAAACACAATTCCCCCTTTTTTTTTTTTTTTTTCAGTCAAATTTGTATTTGTTGTTTTAAAGAAAAACATTTTCCTCACTGTAAATATTTTGTTTAAACAACATACAACTCTTTGAATCCTTCCAGATCTGAATTCATAAAAATAACTTTAAAAATGGTTTTCAACGTTTTACTAGCGACACAAAGTCAAAAAGACACACAGTCACATAAAGAGTACACTCTACAGTCACAGTAATTTAGCTGCTTACCAGTGACTGAGGGGTCCACAGAGTGGTTCTTTCTTTCTGGCTCTTTCCTCTCCAGCTGTGCTATCTGTGATAAACAGTGTAAAACAATGACTACAGAGAAATGGCAGGCTCAGTAAAGGATTGAGAGGTCTCCTCTCACCTGGATTTGCAGCCTTTCAACTGTCTCTCTGTGCAGCTTATCTCTCTCCTCCATTTCTCTCCTCAAATCGGCTTCTCTTTTTTCCCTCTCCTCCTCTCTGAAAAAAAACAAACAAACAAAAAAAACCCCCCAAATATTATTTGAAATGTTTAGTTCCAAACATGGACGGGGGAAGACACACAATTTTACCAGCCAATAGAATACACTCCCATTTAGGAGTAATATTCCACGCTGTCAGAGAAATCACTGGACTGGATGGATTGATTAGATACATACCTGCTCTGGTATTCTCGGACCAGTCTCTTGGCCTTACTGTATTTGATCTCCAAGCTTTCTGATTGGCTCTGGGCATCTGCCAGTCGCTGGCTCACAACCCTGCA